CCCGCCCCGGTCGCCACTCTCGTTCATTTCGCTATCTCATCACCTTCGCGCCTAAGTATATCCGAGAGCACATGCATATCATGCGCACAGATTCAATCTACATCTCCCTCTCCAGGATTCCATCCCGTGACTTCCACGTGCCTTCTCTCCCGGCATCTAGAGCACGCACATGACTCCCACATGACCCCCACATGACTTACGCATGACCCACACTGCCCGCCACAGCATCGACACCGCTTCCTCCGTATCGGCCGCTCTCCCTCGTCACGAGAGTACGCTTTTCCTCCTCTTCCGCCCCATTTTCTCCCCCATTGTCCCAAAATTCTTGTATTCCATGTCCTACGATTCCCAACGCACCTTGAACGCCATGTCCTAAAAATCCCAAATAACTTTTTCAAGCTGGCCTTGTCTCATAATTCACGAACTATCATATATAATGTAGCTAAAATTTCGTCAATCCTGGAAACACCGCTTGAAGCGGCTACCTCCATGCCGGATCACGTGACCCTCCCAAGCCGTAATTTTCGTCAGGCCTGGGTGCAAATCCTTTTTTCGGTACTCGAGGGAAAGTTTTTCGGCACAGGTGGTAGAGTAGTGAAAAAAGTTTTTCGGGACAGAAGGTGAAAAAAGTGGAATTAGTATGGGGATTACGGCGGAAGTGGGTGTGGTACCCTTATAAAAGGCTTTCAGTTGACTGAGGTTCTCGCAGTTCTGTACTACCTGGTCAACTTAAAGGGTGATGCAGAATTAGAAAAGACACTTTACGGATCCACGCTCGAGGAACGTTCTCAAGTGCTCAGATTTTTGTCTTTTACAAATCATGAAATTACCCAAAGCACAATTGCAGTGGTTACAGCAGCTAGATCCAATGCGACGCAAGAGCAGTATGATGAGAAGCTCTCCCAGTGTATTGCATGCTTTGGGTACTTGGAGAACCGCTTGACCGAACACGAGTTTCTCGTGAATGACCACATCACAATTGCCGATTTGTTCACTGCCACTATATGCGCAACTCTGTATGGATTTGCACTCGGAAAGGATAAGTTTGGCGGATTTTCCAAGCTCAGTGAGTGGCTCTCCGAGGTGTTGCAGCACCCGGTATTGAAGGGCAAAGTTGGCACGTCAACGTTCGTTGAGAATACCATTTCTCTTCCTCCAACTAATTGATAGATAGTTGTAGGCCAGCGCGTGCCGATATACCATCCTACATATAGATTTCTGATAAATGCTTTCATCAGCCATTCTTTCCCGGAGTCACCCAAACTCCGGTGCACTTTGATGAATGACGTCAGCTGTGATTGACATCGCTTGGCATATAAAACTATATAGGCTATTAAGGAGAACCAAAGTTCTGCTCAACATCCTTGAAGCACATCCAGCAATGGAAAAGGAAAGCCTACTTCTTCCGACGGAGGATAAGAATGCTGTTCCCTCGAGGATTTTTAAAAATAAATTGACCTGGCTTCTTCATGACTGGAGCAGGTTCACACCTGCATATGTGTCTCTGCTTGTAGCACACGCCATTTGGGCTATTCCGGTCTATTACATGTCCCCATGGAGTGGAAATCCGGGATATATTATTCTGTCTCTAACTATCTGGTTTCTGCTTCTCGAAGTTGCATTCGCTGTGGTGGCCATTCTGGCACTGCGGAATAGAAAACTAGTGTTTCTGAAGGCATACGAAGACGTGGCCAACCACATCAGTGCCCAAAGACCAGGAACTGATCTGAACATGTGGGACTCGATTGCCTTGGAACTGAACTCTACGTTCGCGAAGGATGAGAGCTGGCATTCCTCTGTTTGTTTGTGGGACGGTGCTGACTGCTATGCATGTTTCAGGTCTCTCCTATATATACCGTTCAAACATGAGAAACTCGATGGTGACGTGCGGGCTGTCATTGGAGATTCTATATTGGTGTATGAAGATTCCGTTGAACAACGCTGGACCTACAAGATGGACATCGAGAAATTGTGCGAGACAGCTTCGCTCAATAAACTGCCTCAAGAGCTATACAGCTCCAAGTTTACATGGACCATGACGAATTTAATGAAGAGAAAGTCTAACTGGCTCTGCGCACTATGTTTTATTCATCTATCTTCGCTTTGGTGGACAGTTGGCTACTTTGTAGGTTTTGTTCTTGCTTCTGTCCTGGAAACAACCATTGCTGCTCGCACTCGACTGCTCGATATACAGAACTCTTTCCGCCTGTTGGTAATTGTGGCAAACCAGGAATCTAGCGAGGATGAAGCGGACTGGGACCAAATTGCGAAAGCAGTGAATGAACTGGTCCAGGAGAGTCCTTTATCTTCTTTTTTCAAAGCGGGCTTTTTCTTTGATGGAGATGACTGTCACCGAGTATTTGAGAACAGTGTAGAGACTATTTTGTGCGGTAAGGAGTCTAGTTATCCTGAGTTGGTTCCTTTAGCAAGCAGATGTCAAGCCATATCTGGACTTGACGCTGGCGAGAAGGTGTAGGCCGATTATGTGAATCAGGTAGTTTTGTTTGTGACATTTAATAATAAGGTCAAAACGTATTCTATGCCCTAGCAATTCAAAGACGACGGCTAAACGAGCACATCTTTCTACTTTACTGACTAATATTGAGCTGACACAAGTGAGTCTTCGTATCAGATATACCTAAAATTGCGTCGACAACTGTCTCTTGACAATTGAGCACTGGAGCTGCCTATTATTATCGACTTCTTCCACTGTAAATATGGTAAATCGCTCAGATTTGATCGTCCCGCGCTATCAACTAACAGATTCTGCGAATCACCGGTTGATGGTTAGATGAAAATCTCGTCTCCGAGGTGACTTGAGCAAGCTCCTCTACTTTCGCGTGTTTGTACAAGGTTAGGCTTGCTCAACTCTCTCGGTGAGCACACCTTTCTGACGAAACTACTAGCCCTTGATTTATGAAGATGATTTGCATCGGGGGATAGGTATAAGAAGAGTCTTTGCAGCAGCTCCCTTGTCTATTATCGGTGAACGATATAAAAGTTTTTATCATCTCTGGTCGACTAGCTTCGAGTAACCATGATTACCTGAAAAGGGAGTTGCCCCACCAGCTATTTCGAAGGTTTCCAATATTTTCCTGGGATAGCTAAGAATTTCTTATGAAAACTAGCGTAGTTGCATATTAACCGTAGAACCTGCCGCAAGCTTTTAACGTACTAATACTATGGACGCACCGCGCTATCCATTTTATATCATTAACAAGAAATACTAATTTAAAAGAAATGATTTGTCTAGGCAGATCAACACACTCACACCCCACCTCTGATCTTCATTGCCCGCCTGACTACGTTCAAAACCAAAGCAGTGAGATTCACCTAACAAAAAGCTCGAAAGCTGAACAGGTCCCTGGACAACACTGTATTCTATTGTCCCTCTTTCTGTTTAATGACAGCTAATGCAATATTTTTAGCCTCCATTCTGGACCTCTTCAAACAACATGCTCTGGGAAAGGCTCATCTTTAAAGTCATGAATAACAACGAGACAGTTTCTCCCAATGCAATCCGTTTCACAAACTCTTTGAACTTGTAAATCTGTTCGAGCCTTGTCTATCTGCAGTCAAAAAACCCAAGCCATCGGCACACTCTCTATCCTGACCAAATAGGGTTGTGTCAAAAACAACTCTTACA